AATAAAGCTATAGAAATAGACCCTAAATATGTATTATCTATATACAATTCAGGGCTGGTTTATGAAAAAAAACAATAGAAAGATAAGGCTCTTGAGTGCTATAATAAAGCTCTTGAAATCAATCCAGCTCATAAGAATTCATATAACCGAATAAGTGTACTGAAGAAGAGTGGAAAATAAGCTTAAGAGACTGACAAAGAAGAGTAGTAGGAGATAAATCTTTAAACCGCAAAAGATTACTATGAAGAAGGGTATAAATATTACACTGAATTGAATGATGATGAATCAATTAAGTGCTTAAATAAAGCTATTGAATTAGATCCAAACTACTTTGAAGCTTACGATAAACTAGGCCTTGTATTAAAGGAAAATAGAAAATATGAAGAAGCTATTTAATCTTACAAAAAAGCAATAGAAGTAAATCCTAAGTGTTTTGCTGCTATGTAAGCAGTGATGAATTATTACTTGGATAGTAAAATGATAAACGAGGCTAAAGAGTTCTACGACTATGTGCCTAAATGCGCTGAAACTCATTATCATTTGGGAAGGGTTTACTAAGACTAAAATATGCTTGATGAAGCTATAGGAAGCTACTAAAATGCAATAGAATTAGATTCAAAGTATATCGATGCTTACATTCAATTAGGTAACGCTTATCTAGATAAACCTATGTTTGACCAAGCACTTGAAACATATAAGAAAATATTAGAAATTGATCCTCAAAAACCAGTGGCCTATAATAATATAGGGCTAGTTTATTTCGATTAAAATATGAATGATGAAGCTCTTGAATAATTTAACAAAGCTTTAGAAATTAATCCGAAATATGAATTATCACTTTACAACTCTGGACTTGCTTACGAAAGAAAAAATTAAACAGAAAAAGCTCTTGAGTGTTACAATAAAGTACTTGAAATCAACCCTACTGAATCTAGATCCCTTGCAAGAAAAATAGCTCTCTTGAAAAAGAATAATTCTTCAAATACTGGATTTGATTTCCTCAAAGATTTGCAAGATAAATTTGGTCCTAGCTACAAATCAACTGCAGAAGAAAAATTTAACTAAGCTTTCCATTATTATATGCAAATGGAAGATGATAAATCAATAGAATGCCTAAAAAAAGCTATTGAAATAGATCCAAACTATTATGCAGCTTATGAAATGTTAGGTTTTGTCTACTCAAAAAAGAAAAAGTTTGATGAGGCTATAGAATTTTACTAAAAAGGAATTAAAGTTAATCCAAAAGGAATGGAATGCATTCGTAGTTTAGTGAAAATATACTAAGATAAAAATATGGAAAATGAAGCAAAGGAATTTTTCAATCAAATTCCTAAATACTTAGAAACTTACTATGAACTAGCAACTATTTATTCAGAATGTAAAATGACCGAAGAAGCTATTGATTACTTCTAAAAAGCTATAGAACTAGATCCTCTTTATATCAATGCTTACATCGAACTAGGTAATTTATACTTAGGTAAAGCAGAATACGATTAAGCACTCGAATGCTACCAAAAAATAATACAAATAAATCCTCAAAAAGCAGTAGCTTATAATAATATAGGACTTGTACATTACAAGTAGAAAATGGATGACAAAGCAATCGAGTACTACAATAAAGCTCTAGAACTGGACCCTAATTATGACCTCTCCTATTACAACTCTGGTTTAGTTTATGAGTAAAAAAAGGATTTTGACAAAGCTCTTGAATGCTATAAAAAAGTTCTTTAAATAAACCCAAAAGATAAGAAAACTCTTAATAGAATTAACCTAATAAAAAAGAATAATGGAGACAAAATTGATAATTAAGCTCAAGAAGATGAAGGATCAGAACCAGAAGATTATGATGATGATTATGAAGATGGCGATGAATAAAAGAAAGATCTTTAAACTGCAGAAGACTATTACAATCAAGGTTTTAAATATTATAATTAGATGAAGGATTAGGAATGCATAAAGTGCTTAAAAAAAGCTATTGAAATCGATCCAAAGTATTCTGAGGCTTATGATAAACTCGGTTTAGTTTATGAAGAAAATGAACAATTTGAAGAGGCAATTGAATGCTACAAAAAAGCCATTGAACATAAACCCAATAATTTAGATTGTATTAGTGCTTTAATGACTATCTATATAAATTAAAAAATGACTGATGAAGCTAAAGAGTTTTATAATTCAGTTTCGTAATCTGCTGATATTTACTATGAATTAGGTAGAGTATATGAAGATAAAAGTATGGTCGATGAAGCTATTTCTAGTCATAAAAAGGCTATTGAATTAGATCCTAAGTATGTAAATTCTTACATATAATTAGGTAACATTTATTCAGAAAAAGCTTCTTATGAGCAAGCCATTGAATACTTTTAAAAGATTTTAGAAATTGAACCTAATAATGAAATAGCATATAATAACATAGGACTTATTTACTATGATCAAGGAAAGTATGATTAAGCACTTGAACAATACAACAAAGCTCTTGAAATAAATCCTAAATACGAGTTATCTCTTTACAATTCAGGGCTTGTTTACGAGAAAAAAGACTAATATGAAAAAGCCCTTGAGTTCTATAATAAAGTTCTTTCAATTAATCCTACAGAAAGGAGATCACTAAATAGAATAAAATTGATGAAACAAAATAAAAAAATCTGAAATGAAGATTTATTTATTAAGCAACCAATCCCATAAGATTTTATACTTGATTGAGGATCTTAATGAATTCAAAGTTCCCATTTTTTATTAATGACTTAATTTTTAAATTTTTTATGTAGAATACATAATCTATTTACATATTAAAGTAACTAAAATTTATTTTTATTGAATAAATTGTTAAAAAGATAATATATATAGATATTATTCTAAATGCCTTTCTAAAATTTATCGAAATAATACCACTTTTTTTTAGTTTTTAAAAACCCTTCAAAAAAATATTAATTAAATCAATATCTAAAAAAACTCAATATAGGCATTAAATTATCATGTAAAATTCATTTTTTTTTTATCTAAAAGCCTGCCTTAATTAATAAAAAGATCAAATAAGAGTTTTAATTTGGTAGCTTGATATATGAACGAACCTTTAATTTTTTATATTATTATTCTCATAAATAAGCCTTCTTATGATTAAACATTAACTTATGTCTAATTTTTCTCATAATTAAAATAAATATTTTTTAATATTAATTTGAAAACATAATAATAAACATATTTATTTCTAAATATCTATCAAAAAATAAACATTTATTTCTAAATATCAAATATGAAAATAAATATTTTTTTATTGTTCTTCAATTTATAAATTTTAATATTAATTTAAAATAATATTTTGCAAATATTTCACTTTCAACTTTCAGAATGAATTAAATAAAAAATATTTTTAGAATTAATTTAGTGAGAAAATCTACTATAAAAGTATTATTTGAAAATAAGGTAAAAAATACATTACTCTCATTACAACTGCACAACAATTTACTTTTAAATTTTAAAATATTTTTTAATTTCTTCATTTTTTTAAAGAAAAACCTTAAATTATAAAATATTTTTAATATTTTATTTATATTTTTTATGGAATTTATAACTTATTTTAAAAGTAAAATTTAAATTAGTTAAATTAATTTAATATTTAAAAATTATGCTTATTTATTTATCTATTTTATTCATGTGACTATTCAATTTTATTTTATAATAATAAAAATATTTTCCCAAAATTTCTTTCAAATTCACAAAAAAGAAAAGCATTTAAAAATTGTCAGTCTTAATTAAAGGCTAAGAAATTTAATCTTCCAATCAAAAGCTACATTTAAAATAAATTAATGGATTTATTTGCAATTACAATCCTTAAATTTTATAATTCTAACTTAAATGATTTAAAATTTTTGTAATAAAATTTAAATTATGATAATAAACATTTGAATTTCAGAGATTTGATTGAGAATAATATATTTTTTTATGAATATCAATATAATTTTTATCCATTTTATTGATTTTTTTTAATTTATTGATAAATATTTTATCCAAAAAAATTCAAGGATATTATTTTATATTCCATATAATTACGATTTAAGGAGAAGATTTATTGATTCAATTTATTTAGTTTTTTAGTCATTCATTATTTGTAATTGTAAAATACTCTCTTAAACACTCAACCATTTATTTATTTTCGCTAGAAAATTTCTTTTGTATTGGTAGAAACAATAATCTTTCTTATCTTAAACTACAGTTCTGAGATATTCTGATCATAAAAATTTTTGAATAAAATTGATCCTAAATATTTGAAATACATTGTAAGATTAATGATTCTAAGAAAAATCAATAGCCAACTTTTAATAGAATAGAATTCTTTAAATTATATTTTAAATATTTAATAAATTAATCGTTTTAATTCAATCAAGTTATAAGTTGCTGCCTAAAACAACTGCAAACAAATAAAATAAGTTAATTTTCTATATTAAAAATTGTTGACAATATTAATAAAGAAACAAACTAATTAATTAAATATTAATATATTTTGTTTTTTATATAAAAGTATTAAGTAGTAAAAATTTATTTTTTACTATTTAAAATATAAAATATTATTATCTTTGCTATCTAAGTATTCTATTGGTAAATTAACATAGCACATATAATTAATTAGTTCTTAGCATTTTGGTTTAATTTGTGCTTACTATGAAATTTTTATATATCCTTTTTCTTGTGTGGCTTGTGATCATTATAAAGAATTCAATGAACTATATTTGATTTTTGGATTACATTAATACTTTTATTTATTCTCAATCTGATCTATCATTTGTTTCTATTGATTATTTCAATTTAGTGAACAAATAAATATCTTTACACAGATAATTCCTGATAATAAAATCTTGTAGAACAAATAAAAGCTTGAAATAGCTCTATCGCAATTTAGTGTTTATAATAATTATCATAAAAAATATCTTTTAAATATCTATTCAAACTAATAAACTAGAATTTAATCAACCAAATCTAATTTAAATATTAGAAAAAGCTGTGGAATGGAAGATAGTCAATCTCTCTGTGATAAGGCTCTTGATTTTTAAAAGTAGAATTTGCTTGAGGAGGCTATTGAATGCTACAAAAAGGTTCTAGAAGTAGACGCTAGCAATGTAGAAGCTCTCTATAATCTTGGCTTAATTCATCAGTCAAAGAAACAGCATGATGAATCTCTCGAGTTTCTTAACAGAGCAATCGAAAAAAATCCCAACTATTTAAATGCCTACATCTGCAAAGCTGAAAATTATTTACAAAAAAAAATGCTTGACGAAGCAGTTGCATGCCTTTAAAAAGCTCTAGAAATAGACCCTAAAAGCGCTAAGGCTCATGAAAGATTAGGTTTTGCTTATAAAAAATAAAATCTTACAAATAAAGCTATATAGTGCTTTAAAAAAGCTATCGAAATAGATCCAAATTTTACAGAAGCTCATCACAACTTAGGATTTGCTTACGAAAGCAAAAACATGATCGATTAAGCTTACGATTGCTATAAGAACATACTTAATATTGATCCTAATTATGTTAATACTTATATCAGCCTAGCTCGTAACTACTATACTGATTATAAAATTGAAGATTCTATCAAATATCTCAAAAAAGCTATAGAAATTGATTAGAATTGTGTAGAAGCTTATGAAAGGCTTGGGTATGTTTACTAGAATACAAGTAAGAAGGAGGAGGCTATCAAGCATTACAAAAAAGCTATTGAAATAGATCCTAAATATTTTAACGCTCAGTTTAATCTAGGGTTACTATACTATGAAGAATAAAAAGATGATGAAGCACTTACTTATTTTCAAAAAGCCATTGAAATTAATCCAAAAAGCCCTGATTCTTATAATAACATAGGACTTGTCTATTATCATAAAAATATGATCACAGAAGCACTTGAGTATTATAAGAAAGCACTTGATGTAGATCCTTAATATCACAAGGCCTACCACAACTCTGCGCTTGCTTATGAAAAATAAAATTTAATATAAAATGCTATTGAAAGTTACAAGAAATCAATAGAAATGAATCCTAAATTTCTTAAATCTCTGACAAATTTGGGAGATCTTTGCATTGAGTAGAATTTGGCAGACGAGGGTATTGAATGCTTCAAAAAAATAATTTAAATCGATCCATATAGTCATTACGATCATTTTTAGTTAGCCTTTTTATATCAAGATAAAGATATGAATGAAGAAGCTGTCAAAACATATAAAAAAGTTATAGAGCTAAATCCAGAGTATACTAATGCCTATCTTAACTTAGGTATAATTTACTCTGACTAAAAAATGTTTGATGAAGCTCAATCCTGTTTTAAAAAAGCCATTCAAGTAGATCCAAATTATTATAAAGCTTATTATAGAAGTGCAGAAGTTTATGAATTATAAGGAAATACTACTGAAGCTATTGAATGCTACAAAAAAGCAATAGAAATAAACCCAAAATACACCTACTCTTATGTTAGTTTGGCAATGCTATAAACAATTTTGAAAAACTATGATGAAGCAATTGCTTGCTATCAAAATGTATTAGCAATCGAGGAGAATAATTTAAGTGCCCTAAACAATTTAGGATACATTTATTACTTGAAAAATATGTATGATGAGGCCTTAGATTACTTTAAAAAAAGATTATAGCTTGATACAACTGATTACTTAATTTACTACAACTTAGGAGCAACATATGAATCAAAAAATATGCTAGAAGAAGCCTTGGAATATTACAAGAAAACTGAAGAGATGAACCCAAATCACATTACTACTTTTATAAGACAAGGAAATGCTTATTCTTAAAAGAACATGTAATCTGAAGCTTTTGAATGTTACAATAAAGTTAATGATAGCAATTTGAGCACCCTATTTGAAGATGAGCTTTTTGTTTAAACTAATATGATAAAAGAGTGTATCAAATGCTATGAAAAGACTATATAGCTGAATCCAAAATATACTTAAGCTTTCTGTAACTTAGGACAGCTTAACTAGGCTATCAAGTAGATGGAAGAGGCTATTCGTTTCTATTTAGCAGCAATCGAGTTAGATCCAAAATGCATAAAATCTTATCTTGGATTGGGTAGCATCTATTCTGCTAAAGGAATCAATGAAAAAGCTCTTGAATGCTTTTCTAAAGCTGAAGAAATTGATGCTAATAATGCTGCAATATTCAATGGCATTGGATTTATGTATTATACTTAGAAAAGTTATGATTAAGCTATTGAAAATTTTAACAAAGCCTTAGAAATAAATCCAAACTATGAATTAGCAATTTACTACACCGGGCTTGTGTATCAATAAAAAAACCAAAACGATAAAGCACTTGAGTGTTATTAAAAAGTTCTTTAAATAAAACCAAATGATAAAAAGGCAAAAGTAAGAATTTTTTAAATAAATTAAAAAAATCAATAGGAAGATAAAACTCCAAAAACTGCAAAGGAATTTTATTAATAAGGTTACAAATATTACATTTAGTTGAAGGATGAATAATCAATAGAATGCTTATAAAAAGCTCTAGAGTTAGATCCAAACTATTATGAAGCCTATGACAAATTAGGCCTTATTTACAAAGAGAAAAAGATGTTTGATGAAGCTATTGTTAACTATAAAAAAGTTTTAGAAATAAACCCTGATTGTTTAGATATTATAAAGACAGTTATGAATATTTACTTGGATAGAAAAATGCTCGATGAAGCTAAAGCCTTCTATGATGAAGTACCCAAAAATTTAGATACTTACTATGAATTTGCTGACGTGTACAAATCTCAAAATATGTTTGAAGAATCAGTTACAAATTATAAGAAAGTACTTGAATTAGACCCTAATGACATTGATGCACATATTTTGCTAGGAAGTCTCTACTTAAACAAGCCTGATTATGAGAAGGCGCTTGAGTGCTACTAAAATATTTTAAATATAGATTCTAAACAGGCAGTTGCTTACAATAATATGGGTCTTGTCTATTTCAGATAAAATATCGATGATTAGGCACTAGAATATTTCAACAAAGCTCTTGAAGTGAATCCAAAATATGAGCTATCTATTTACAACTCAGGCTTGGTTTATGAAAAGAAAAATTAAAAAGATAAAGCTCTTGAGTTATATAACCAAGTACTTGCTATAAACCCAACTGAAAAGAAAACTTTAGCAAGAATGGAGATATTAAAAAAGAAAGAATAAGAGTAAGAGTAAAAACTTGAAACTGCCAAGGATTATCTTGATTAAGGATTTAAGTATTACAATTAAATGAAGGATGAAGAGTCCATAAACTGTTACAAAAAAGCCTTAGAATTGGACCTAAATTACTTTTAAGCATATGAAAAATTAGGTCTACTGCACAAAACTAATAAAAAATTTGATGAAGCAGTTGAAAATTACAAAAAAGCTATTGAAATCAATCCTAAATGCTTCAGTGCTATGAAAGCTGTGATGAATCTATATTTGGACAAAAAAATGATTAAAGAAGCTTAGGAATTTTGCGAATTCGTTCCAAAATGCACTGAAGCTTATTATGAATTAGGAAGAACATATGAAGAGTAAAATATGCTTGATGACGCTATAGTAAATTATAAAAAAGCAATATAATTAGACCCTAGTCATATTAACTCCTACATTTATTTAGGAAATTCTTATTTAGACAAATTGCAATTTGATTTAGCTCTTGATTCCTATAAAAAAATAATAGAAATAGATCCTAAAAAAGCTGTTGCTTATAACAATGTTGGAGTTGTCTATAACAAGTAAGGATTGTATGATGCAGCGCTTGAATATTATAAAAAGGCTCTTGATGTCGATCCTCATTACGAATTAGCCCTTTTCAACAGCGGATTGGTTTATGAAAAAAAAGGAGAATAAGATAAAGCTCTTGAATTCTTTTATAAAACATTAGAAATAAATCCCACTGAAAAAAAATCTCTTAATAGAATAAAGGTGATCTAACAAAACAAGCAAACTTCAAAAGATGATAAAGAGTTTAGTCTTTTTAAAGATATATTTAAAAAAGATAAAAAGAAAGTTCTTTCAACAGCAGACGATTATTATTATGAAGGCTTTGACTACTATTAATAATAGAATGATGACAAAGCCATAGAATGTCTGAAAAAAGCTTTAGAAATAGACCCAAATTTCTATGAAGCATATGATAAACTTGGTTTAGTTTATAAAGAAAAAAAGATGTTTGACGAATCTATTACCCACTACAAAAAAGCATTCGAACTCAACCCAAAATTTTATTCTGCTATGGAGACAGTGATGAACATGTATTTAGATAAAAAAATGATTAAAGAAGCTAAAGAATTCTCTGAATAAGTTCCTAAAAACCTTGATGCTTATTATAAATTAGCAAAAGTTTACTAAGATCAAAATATGCTTGATGAATCTATTGTCTACTATAAAAAAGTACTTGAGTTAGACTCTAAATACATTAATGCTTATATCTAATTAGGCAACGCTTATTTAGATAAACCGTTATACGATTAAGCCATGGAGTGCTATTAAAAAATAATAGAAATAGACTCAAAAGAACCAGTCGCGTATAATAATATAGGCCTTATATATTTAAGATAAAACATGCTAGACGAGGCACTTGAATAATTCAATAAAGCTATAGAAGCAGACCCTGAATATGAGTTATCTATATACAATTCAGGGCTGGTTTATGAAAAAAAACATTAGAAAGATAAGGCTCTTGAATGCTATAATAGAGCTCTTGAAATCAATCCAGCTCATAAGAATACATTAAGCAGACTAAATAAACTGAAAAAGAAAACTGGAAAATAAGCTTAAGGAACTGACAAAGAAGAGTAGTAGGAGAAAAATCTTTAAACTGCTAAAGATTACTATGAAGAAGGGTATAAATATTACACTGAATTGAATGATGATGAATCAATCAAGTGCTTAAATAAGGCTATTGAATTAGATCCAAACTACTCTGAAGCCTACGACAAACTAGGTCTTGTATTAAAAGCAAATAGAAAGTATGAAGAAGCTATTTAATCTTACAAAAAAGCTATAGAAGTAAATCCTAAGTGCTTTGCTGCTATGGAAGCAGTGATGAATTATTATTTGGATAGAAAAATGATAAACGAGGCTAAAGAGTTCTACGACTATGTGCCTAAATGCGTTGAAACTCATTATCATTTGGGAAGGGTTTACTAAGACTAAAATATGCTTGATGAAGCTATAGGAAGCTACTAAAGAGCAATTGAATTAGACTCAAAGTATATTAATGCTTACATTCAATTAGGTAACGCTTATCTAGATAAACCTATGTTTGACCAAGCACTTGAAACATATAAGAAAATATTAGAAATTGATCCTCAAAAACCAGTGGCCTATAATAATATAGGGCTAGTTTATTTCGATTAAAATATGAATGATGAAGCTCTTGAATAATTTAACAAAGCTTTAGAAATTAATCCGAAATATGAATTATCACTTTACAACTCTGGACTTGTTTACGAAAGAAAAAATTAAACAGACAAAGCTCTTGAGTGTTACAATAAAGTTCTTGAAATCAACCCTACTGAATCTAGATCCCTTGCAAGAAAAAGAGCTCTATAGAAAAAGAATAATTCTTCAAATAACGGATTTGACTTCCTTGACGATTTACAAAATAAATTTGGTTCTAGCAACAAATCAACTGCAGAGTAACAATATAGCTAAGCTTTCCTTTATTATATGCAAATGGAAGATGATAAATCAATAGAATGCCTAAAAAAAGCTATTGAAATAGATCCAAACTATTATGCAGCTTATGAAAGGTTAGGTTTTGTCTACTCATAATAGAAAAAGTTTGATGAGGCTATAGAATTTTACTAAAAAGGAATTAAAGTTAATCCAAAAGGAATGGAATGCATTCGTAGTTTAGTGAAAATATACTAAGATAAATTTATGGTAAATGAAGCAAAGGAATTTTTCAATCAAATTCCTAAATGCTTAGAAACTTACTATGAACTAGCAACTATTTATTCAGAATGTAAAATGACCGAAGAAGCTATTGATTACTTCTAAAAAGCTATAGAACTAGATCCTCTTTATATCAATGCTTACATCGAACTAGGTAATTTACACTTAGGTAAAGCAGAATACGATTAAGCACTCGAATGCTACCAAAAAATAATACAAATAAATCCTCAAAAAGCAGTAGCTTATAATAATATAGGACTTGTACATTACAAGTAGAAAATGGATGACAAAGCAATCGAGTACTACAATAAAGCTCTAGAACTGGACCCTAATTATGACCTCTCCTATTACAATTCTGGTTTAGTTTATGAGTAAAAAAAGGATTTTGACAAAGCTCTTGAATGCTATAAAAAAGTTCTTAAAATAAACCCAAAAGACAAGAAAACTCTTAATAGAATTAACCTAATAAAAAAGAATAATGGAGACAAAATAGATAACTAAACCAAAGAGGATGAAGTATCAGAGCCAGAAGATTATGATGATGATTATGAAGATGGCGATGAATAAAAGAAAGATCTTTAAACTGCAGAAGACTATTACAATCAAGGTTTTAAATATTATAATTAGATGAAGGATTAGGAATGCATAAAGTGCTTAAAAAAAGCTATTGAAATCGATCCAAAGTATTCTGAGGCTTATGATAAACTCGGTTTAGTTTATGAAGAAAATGAACAATTTGAAGAGGCAATTGAATGCTACAAAAAAGCCATTGAACATAAACCCAATAGTTTAGATTCTATAAGTGCTTTAATGACTCTATATATAAATTAAAAAATGACTGAGGAAGCTAAAGAGTTTTATAATTCAGTTTAGTAATCTGCTGATATTTACTATGAATTAGCTAGAGTATATGAAGATAAAAGTATGGTTGATGAAGCTATTTCTAGCCATAAAAAGGCGATTGAACTAGATCCTAAGTATGTAAATTCTTACATATAATTAGGTAACATCTATTCAGACAAAGCCTCTTATGAGCAAGCCACTGAATACTATTAAAAGATTTTAGAAATTGAACCTAATAATGAAATAGCATATAATAACATAGGACTTATTTACTATGATCAAGGAAAGAATGATTAAGCACTTGAACAATACAACAAAGCTCTTGAAATAAATCCTAAATACGAGTTATCTCTTTACAATTCAGGGCTTGTTTACGAGAAAAAAGACTAATATGAAAAAGCCCTTGAGTTCTATAATAAAGTTCTTTCAATTAATCCTACAGAAAGGAGATCACTAAATAGAATAAAATTGATGAAGGAAAATAAAAAAATCTGAAATGAAAACTTAATATACCATCAAACTTCATTAATTAAGGTTTAAAACTCCCCTGATTTTATGTTTTATTGAGGGTCTTAATCTAGAAAATCTTAGTAAGAGGCTTTAATATAAATAATCCTTAATTAATAAGGAATGACAGTATATATTATATATAAAAATTATAAATTATTTGGCATGCAATTTGCATTTATAATTCTATGCATTCTTTTTTTTAAATTTAATCTTTTTTAATTTGATTCATTTCCCTAATTTTGCTAAAAAATATAAATTTTATATTATTAATTCACTTATTTTTAAAAAATATATTTTCACTAAAATAATTCATTAAAAACAATCATTAAAAAACATTTTTAAAATAAAGAATGAAAATTTTAATTTATTTAAATAAATTTTTCTTAGTTTCTTTCTTATAAAACTCTAATTTAAAATATTTTAAATTTTTCTTATCAAATAAATAAACTCCTTACAAAAAATATTTAAAAATTAAAAAAAATTTACATTTAAAATGCATTTCAAGATTTTATTTGAGCAAATAATTATTGATCTTTATTTGTTTTTTCTATTTTTCAAAATACTAATTTTCTTACTGTTGCTTCAGCAAAAAATATTTAAATTTAACTTTTAATTTTACACAAATACTCAAAATAATGATCATAATTTAATCTTTTATAAAATATACCTCATTCATTTTTATGCAAATTATAAATTACATAAATTATAAAAATAAATAAAGTCTATTTTATTAAAGCTCTAACTATTAATTTAATCTAAAATATCTCATATAGCTTAGTCGATAACCTTTATTTAACTATATAGTTTCAATTATTATCTATGATATTACTTATTCCTAATATCTTTTGAGCCAAAAATCTTTTACTTTTTGAGAAAAATGACCTCATTTTTATAACATATTTGGCTTTCTTTTATGTGTTTCTTTATTTAAAAAATATTCTAAATGATATATTCTAAGAATTAATTTATTATTACTTCATAATTATTTATCTTGCTTATATTTTCTACTATTTTATCTGCCTATTTTAGTTTTAGCTCCATATTTGCTATCATTATTCTTCATAATTAGTTTATTAATTTCTTTTTTATTTTATTTATCTTTTTTATGATGCTTATTTCCTTCTTTTTCATGCTTTGTTTACTCTAGATTATTATCATTTTCAGTCTCTCCATTTAAATATGCTTAGTTTTCAATATAATTATTGAAGCTAATTTAATAAATAAATAAATAATTACATTAAGTTTCATCAACTTGATCTTAAACTACTTCGCCAATACTGCTACTAGTCTGACCAAGATCATTAGCTTTTAATTTAATAAACAAAATATAAGTAGAGTTAATTATTTTAAAAAGATAATTATTACCAACATTATTAATACCCTAACCTAACTAATTGCCTGCTTAACCTAAATTTCCAACAGAATCACCTACATTTCCAAAGACATCTCCAACAGCTTTAGTCCCATCTTTTAATTAAAAAGTTTGTGTACTTCAATTCATAGTATTTTTTAGTGTATGCAAATGATTACCTTATCTTGCTTATCCAATATTATCTTAAATATTGTTTTCTTCAGAATCATCCTATGAACTACTTTCAGAAGATTTATTTTCGTTTGCAGATGCTGTACTATTAGTTGCAGTTGGTTAATCATCTTTCTTTTTATAGCTTCTAGCTCCTAATGAAGAAGTAAATATTAAAGAAAGTGCAATAATAAAAATTAAAGTGATTCTCATATTTCTTAATTTATTGAAAGATATTATTGCTTTTAACTGGTATATGTTTTTCAAAATATAGTAATCAAAAACTATAAAATAAATTATACCGTTTTTACTTTGATTATATTAATTGATGAAATTTATTAATAAAAAGTATATTAAATATTATTAAAATCTAGTTTAATGTAAACATAATTCATTTATATTAAAATCTAGTTTAGTGTAAAATCATTAATTTAGTTAGTGCAAATATCATTTTATGAAAATTTTTATAAAATGAAAATAAATTTAAACAAAGTAAGTAAATTACTTTAAATTTTAAAAATTAATTCCTACATTTATATTTTAAGCTTATAAATTGATGCTATATCCATACAGATTCGCTCTGAAGATATGTATAATTACTCAAACTTATTATGAAAATATATTAATTATCAATTTAACTTGGTAATTAAATTTAAAATATAATCTAATTATCCAATCGTGCTTTAAAAAATACATAAATAAGTAAAAAATTAAGATTTTATTTAATTTATACACAAATAATTAATTTATTTATATTATGTAAAACATTTGAAATATGCCCTTTTTTTTTTGCTTTACTCATTTTATTTACTAGATTAGAAATTTATGGGTAAAGTTAAAAAAACTAATAAAAAATACTTAAATTTAACAAGATTTAGAGTAAATCTTTTAATTTTTTCTTAATGTCTATTTGTAACATTAAAAATTATTAAAAAAGTTAAATTCAGATAATTATTCTATTGTTAGTTACTCCATTTCTAAAATTGAATAAAAAATTAAATATTCAATCTAGTTTTTGATTGGATTATAAATTTGCAATAGGATAATTAATTATCGTAAGTTTCTTATTTAAACCAATCATAATTAATTCTTATTTAATAGGTATTTGAAAAAAATTCTTAGGTATAGACCACACATTTTATAATGATGAATATGAAGATAAAGATTAGATAAAATTAAATATTATTTTTAATAATTTTGAAATAGTTTTCTGAAAATAAAAGCTATTTTATAATTTTTAATTAAATAATGAGAGAGAAGTAATTATAACCATAAATAATTAAATTGCCATAAATATATAAAATAATAATAGTTATTGTTTGACATATTTAAACCGATATTGAAAGTGACTGATAATTATATTTCTAATAAATTATATCTATTAATAACATCAGCTCATATGTATATAAATAAAATATTTTCAGATATTTCAGATTAGATTTAAACAAAGTTATTAGGGTATCAATCAATCTATAAGTAAAAATCATTATCTAATTAATCAATACATTTATAAAAAACAAAATAAAAAATAAATATTTTAATGAAACATAATTATTTATGTAGAGTTTAATTTTTTAATATATAAATTATTAAAGTTCAGGTTTGTTATATTTAACTTTTCGCTGATTGTCAATAGATAGTTATCTATTTTATTAGTTTAAATAAATCAATTTTTTATGAATTTAACTAATTATATTTTACCTTAGCTTATAATTAATTTTCTAGAAATTTCTTTAGTTAAATTTTCGCATCATAATCTAAACCACAGTATCTAATAAACATTTTTAAAGAAATAAATAATTAATTAATAGTTTTAAGATTATAACTAAGAATTTTTAATTATTTTCATAACTGAAAAATTATTGAAAATTATTTTATATTTTTATAAATATAATTATGTTTTAAATAAATCTAGTAATGATAAAAAAAGTTAATTATGCTTAAAGTGCATAGATTTTGTGTTTTTATGTTTCTATGTTTTTATGTTTCTATGTTTCAATGTTTTAGTGTTGTTTCAAATGTTTATAAAAAAAATAATATAAGTATAAATATATATAATTATTATTAAATATCTTATTTAAGATGTATTCTGAGTGCATATTTATGTGCGAGTATTTCTATTCTATTCTGCACCAATTTTATTCCCACTTGAATTATAAGAATAAATAAACGAATTAAATAAATATGGAGGAGAAAGGATGGTAAAAAACTATGGCTTTCGTTAGTATTATAGTTGTGTTGTGATGAGTAAGTAAAGAAATTCGTTATATTTTATTTGGTTAGTAAGTTAGTAAGTAAATAAATGAATAAGCAAGTTAGTAAATGACAAGCTGGCTTAATTAGCTAATAACTAAGTCAAAAGCTTAAAATAATCAATATTTAGTTTATCAATCAATCAATTAAATTTTTACTATAAAGAAAGCGTCAAAGTTGTGATATTCTTGCACTAGGCTATTCCTGTGCCTAAATCTTTTGCACCCTCTGCACCAATATTATTGTATCTTGAAATATAAGAATAAATAACGAATTAAATAAATATGGAGGAGAAAGGATGGTAAAAAACTATGGCTTCGTTAGTATTTTAGTTGTGTTGTGATGAGTAAGTAAAGAAATTCGTTATATTTTATTTGGTTAGTAAGTTAGTAAGTAAATAAATGAATAAGCAAGTTAGTAAATGACAAGCTGGTTTAATTAGCTAATAACTAAGTCAAAAGCTTAAAATAATCAATATTTAGTTTATCAATCAATCAATTAAATTTTTACTATAAATCAAGCGTCAAAGTTGTGATATTCTTGCACTAGGCTATTCCTGTGCCTAAATCTTTTGCACCCTCTGCACCAATATTATTGTATCTTGAAATATAAGAATAAATAACGAATTAAATAAATATGGAGGAGAAAGGATGGTAAAAAACTATGGCTTTCGTTAGTATTTTAGTTGTGTTGTGATGAGTAAGTAAAGAAATTCGTTATATTTTATTTGGTTAGTAAGTTAGTAAGTAAATAAATGAATAAGCAAGTTAGTAAATGACAAGCTGGCTTAATTAGCTAATAACTAAGTCAAAAGCTTAAAATAATCAATATTTAGTTTATCAATCAATCAATCAATTAAATTTTTACTATAAATAAAGCGTCAAAGTTGTGATATTCTTGCACTAGGCTATTCCTGTGCCTAAATCTTTTGCACCTTTTGCACCAATTTTATTTTCTCTTGAAATATAAGAATAAATAACGAATTAAATAAATATGGAGGAGAAAGGATGGTAAAAAACTATGGCTTTCGTTAGTATTTTAGTTGTGTTGTGATGAGTAAGTAAAGAAATTTGTTATATTTTATTTGGTTAGTAAGTTAGTAAGTAAATAAATGAATAAGCAAGTTAGTAAATGACAAGCTGGTTTAATTAGCTAATAACTAAGTCAAAAGCTTAAAATAATCAATATTTAGTTTATCAATCAATCAATTAAATTTTTACCTTAAGTTAAGTGTCAAAGTTGTGATATACTTGCACTAGGCTATTCCTGTGCCTAAATCTTTTGCACCCCCTTCACCAATATAATTCCAACTTGAAATATAAGAATAAATAACGAATTAAATAAATATGGAGGAGAAAGGATGGTAAAAAACTATGGCTTTCGTTAGTATTATAGTTGTGTTGTGATGAGTAAGTAAAGAAATTCGTTATATTTTATTTGGTTAGTAAGTTAGTAAGTAAATAAATGAATAAGCAAGTTATTAAATGACAAGGTGGCTTAATTAGATAATAACTAAGTCAAAAGCTTAAAATAATCAATATTTAGTTTATCAATCAATCAATTAAATTTTTACTATAAATCAAGCGTCAAAGTTGTGATATTCTTGCACTAGGCTATTCCTGTGCCTAAATCTTTTGCACCCTCTGCACCAATATTATTGTATCTTGAAATATAAGAATAAATAACGAATTAAATAAAAATGGAGGAGAAATGATGGTAAAAAACTATGGCTTTCGTTAGTATTATAGTTGTGTTGTGATGAGTAAGTAAAGAAATTCGTTATATTTTATTTGGTTAGTAATTTAGTAAGTAAATAAATTAATAAGCAATTAAGTAAAAGACAAGCACACAATTATCAATTAGTTCTAAAAAAAAGTTTTCTTAACAACTTTAATTTATTTTTAATTAGTGGGCAAAATTTTATACCAATTTTTAACTATTTTTAGTTCTAACTCAATTTAATGCCATTTTTTTACATATAAAATATTTTTCAATTTTATTTACCACCTCAATATCAATAAATTTTATTAATAAACAAAATGATAAAGTTTATTTTTTCTTGTAAATTGTAATAATTTATAAGAATTTTATCTTTAATTTTTTATAGAAAGGAATTATTCATCATCTATGATTAAAATTAAATGTTTCTTAATTTCTATGAAAAAGTATAAACTGTTAATTAAGTCTTATATTCGAATTCTTAAATGATATTTTATTTATAATTTAAATTAATTTTAATATAATTACTTTAAATATATTTCAACAACTTGAAATTCTGTAATTTTATATAATTCCTTCATACTAATTATCAGTATTTTCTTGATGTCTTAAATTGGAATTTAATTTTAAGAAATTAATGGTGCAACAGATCCTATGTTTACAGTCTCAACATTTTATATAGGACCTAAATAATCCTATGATAAAATTTTTTTCATCTTATTTTAGTTTGATTTGAATTAGTTTGTATTTTATTCAACAATAGTAGAAAGAGACGCTCTGTTTACTCTTTCCCAGACAACTAAGAGTTTAATAAATTTAAATATTTCAGAGTTTCGCTTAATATTTATGTTATTAAAAGGCTCATTTTATTATTCAAAAGCCATACTTGGGAATGTAATTCCTACTATTTCATTTAAAATTAAGTAATTGTCAAGCAAAGATAATAGTAATCCTACTGAGTAAGAATCAGACTGAAAAAAAAAATTAGTATATTTATTTATAAGTAACTATAACAATAATTACTTTTTTAGAATATATTTTATTTTAATCATCTTCTTTAGCTATAATTTCAGGTGCACTGTACGTCATATTTCCTACCATCTAAAAATATATTAAAATCTCTTGATTTTTACATAGTAACTAAAAAGTTTACACATTATACTTCAATTTATTCACAATCTTTTCCAAGTTAAACTGATAATCCAAAATCGCCTAATATTAAAATGATTAACTTATTTTTAAAAATTAAAAAATATCAGTGTTAATTACACAGTTTGATTTCAAGTTGATTGCCATCCAAACAAACCAAAAAATTTTCAGGTTTAATATCTCTATGAATAATATTGAAACAATGAATATAATTGACAGAGTCAATTATTTAGAGTGCAATATTCAGTTTTTATTCATCACTAAATTCTCCTTCTTTTGTTTATCTTTCGAGATAATCTTAGAGTGAACCTTTTTTACAATAAATGATATAATAAAATTATTATAAATATAAAAACCTCAATAATAAATGCATAATTTATCACTTATTATTAATATGCTACTAAAATACTTTAAGTGGTGTATTTAAAATTAAGATTTAATTTAATAAAAAACTAAAATAAAAATTTTATAAATTGAAATATAAAAATTTACATGAACACTTTTCTAATTCGAAAACTACATATTTTTCAGGTGCTGTAGCTTTTTCTATGACATAATGGTCATATAGCTAGACTACTAATGGAGTTTTCAACTATTACATTATTCTAATTTCATTTTAAATTTCTTAATCATTTACAATCTTTTGTATTTTTAATGCTATTTCCTTGTTGTTCAAGTTAACTTTTTTAGTAGATAATACCATACCAAAGCTTCCAAAATTAAGAATTTGGAAATTATTTACATATTTATTATTTTCAAATAGACTTTGTAATAGTTTAGATAGTATTTCTTTATTTACAAATTGTTTTTCAGTATCTTTTTTCTTTATTTTTTAATCTGTGTTATCAAGCAATATCTGTGCCTATTTTTCAAATTAAATTTGCTTAGAAAAAAAATTATTATCAAACTTAAAATTAATAATTTAGAATGTAAAAAATTAATATGATTATGTTTTTACCATATATTATGATTACTACGGAATTTGTTCCTATCATTAAAAAAATAATAGTTAATATTTGTTGTCTAAACTTATATTTAATATATTTTTAATATTTTAAAAACTATTCACAGATATTTAATGTAATATATTATCTTTTAATTGTTTTTTAATGGAAAATTATTTATAATAATAATGATAAATGCATTTATTACTTTTAATATCATAGACCTGAGTATGAATTTCAGTGGTTATCCATGAAGATTAATAAGCTCATAAAGTAGGTCTCCTGAACTTTTCCTTTCTAAATAATTTGGTTTTAAGCAAATCTCAGCTATTTTATAAATATTAGACTTTCTATCAATCTAATATTTCGAAGCTATTGCTTTTCCTTTATGAATTTCTGCCTTTGTATCCAAGTCAATCCAATTATCATTTAGCACATTCAGATTATCTAGCTCAAGTAAAACTAGCCCTAGAGAAAAGATGTCCGACTTTTAAGCATTAAAATTAAATTAATAATTTAAAGATTAGTTTTATTTAAAAACCTGAATTCTTGATTATCCCTTTTCTACCTCAGGAGCGAAGTAAGCATCAGTTCCTTTCTATAAATTAAAATGATGTAAGATTAATTTTAAATAATATTTCTATGTTTACCTTTGATAGATAATGGCTTTTCGATTTTGTTACTGCAGATGCAAAACCTAAATCACCTTTAGTTTTAATAATTTTTTAAATTGATAAATTTAGTGATAATTAAAATTTTTTACAGAGCTTGATGGTAAATCCATAAGTTTGAGAAGGGGAAACTAGGAAATTGTGAGGTTTGATATCCCTGTGCATGATATTTTTGACATGAAGGTTATTCAATCCTTCTAACATTTGAATAGCTATTACTTCCTTTATTTCATTAGGAGGTGACTATGTATTTCTGAAAAAATCGAAGAGCTGTTTAAGATTTTCTATTTATAAAATACAAATATTTTTATTAGTTAATAAATAATAGAAAAGTATTCAAAAAGTTTTGTTATTTGAAATTAAAAGTTGAATGAAAACATTTTTAAAAATAAATTAAAATTAATAATCAATTTTATTAAATTTAATTAAATAATTGAAACTAATTTTCTTTACATCTTAATATATTTTTTATTAAATTAAATAATTAATCATTTTTTTTTAATTAATATTTAATTAAATTATTTAAAAATAAATAATTAAATAATTAAATTAAATTAGAAAAAGTTTGATTTATTTTAAATTAAAATATAAAAACTATTATTAAATTATTTAATTCAAAAAATTTTTAAAGAAATATTTATTTAATTTAATTTATATAAATTTTATTCATTAAATATTGTCAATTATTAAAAATAAAATTTAATATTTTATAAAATTAAATTTCTAATTGTTATAATGGGGGAATAGATTATAAAATTTTGATTAATTAATCTTCTAGAAGGTTTAATTAAGAAACCTTATAAAATTCAATGAAAATTTAATTAAAAAAAACCTTATTTGTGGTATTTGTGGGGTATTTTAAAAATTAAAAGTAATAAAATTTTATAAAATAAACAATTTCTATTATATTTTCAAAATTAATTAATTAAATCAGCTTAGCGCAAATCTATTCTTTCTAAAAAATTAATCAAATCCAAAGATACTTAGAAACAAATCAACTTTTTTAAAATGGCGGAACTTCAATTATTATAAAAGTGATAAAAAAAATAATATTGTTTCATATTTTAAGATATTCTTCATAGTTTTTAAAAAAAATGGGGAGACTAAAAAAAAATGGATGAAAATTATAATGTTGATTACACTTGCAAAGCTCCATTTCCATCACAAAAAAGGATTTCTCTTCTGTTAAGATGGTTTTTTCGTTACCTTCTTCATCCTCTTCTACATCTTCTTCCATTAAATAGAAGCAATCATAGACATTTACCAAAAAATCAGATTAGCCAAACTTTTGAAGCATTTCATATTCTTTTTTAATAGATTCGATTCCATTCGCATCCTCTTAGTTCGTAGATGTTAGGAATTTAAGCGCAACAATACGATTTTCTTAAGTGTTCTTAGCTTTCAAGACAAGAGCGTAAGCACCACTACTTAAGTACTCCAAATCTTAGAAATATTTTTTCTAGCTGAACATCAATTTGATTATTTCTTTCAAATTTACCTTTTGAATCTGGCAATCCTTGGGGATTTTCACTGAGATTGTTTTGAGTAATTAGCTTTATAATGCTTTGGACATTTTTGCTATTGATTAACGCTTTGCGATTAGGGGGGTTGACTGGGTTATTAACTTACTAAGAGTAGGCTGAGAGGTTTGCTTTTTAACTAAAAACTGGTGTTTTTATTTTAATGTGAAACTATTTATGCAAAAGTGACTTTGAGTGTCACTATTTATAGAGCTTAATTCAAAGAAATTTGATTAATTTAGCCAATAAAAAAGAAGATTTAATTATTTTTCAAATATACTAACATCTCTTCAATTATATCGTTAAATATTAACATGGAAACAAATCAAAATATAATAAAATAAGAAATTGAATAAATATGTTAAAATAAACTTTATTAAATATAAATTAATATTTATTTTTATTTTAAAAAGAATGAATCATTTTTCAAAATAAAACAGATAAAAATTAAATTATTTTAAGTATTAAAATTTACATATTCATTACATAGAAATAAAAATTTGAGTATCTAATTCGAAAAAAATATGAAAGCCTTAAAGAAACTCAATGATAGTTATTACTATTTAATGGGCTAATTACTAATTGTTTTACTCTATTGTAGGCATTATAGCTTTTAACTTAGACTTATAACGTAGAGTTGATAGAAATTTATTAGCTAAACATCTGCATACTTAGATTAGTTTCTTTCTGCTCTTTATGTCTTTGATTACTTTGGTGGAATGAAATTTCAGGCTAAAATTTAAAAATTAAGTGAATGAATGAGTGAATAAAATTAATTAATTAATTGAAAAACACTTTTATTTTCATACAATAGCATCTATCTGTATTTTAATAATTGATCATAAGGAAAAAGTCTTAACTTATTTCTCAATATACTAACATCTTTTGAAATTTTATTTTTTATTTCGCAAAAGCAACAAGAAGTTTAATGTAGTCTATAAATATTTTCATTTTTCCTTTTAGAAAGTTCATAATAAATCTTTTCGAAAACAACAAACAAATTTATTAGATTTTTTCTCTTTGAATTACATTTTTTTTAAAAAAATCCTAAATATGTACATGAATATTAAAATTTATTTTATTGGCTGTTCTATTTAAATATATCAAAATGAAATTTACTTCACTTTTAAACACATTGAGGTAAATTAAATTACAAGATACAGACAAATAGATATTATTATCTTAATCATATTTCTTCTCTAACATATATTCTAATTAAATTATAGATGGCTGAATATCTTCAGACCTCAATATTTTTATGCAAATACATTACTCGCAACTTGGATTATTAAAATTATTGTTGTTTTTCTAAAAGCCATAAACTTGTTAGGAATTTCAAATACTTAAAAAAATTATTTCATTTTTAAATATATTTTTTCGTTATATCCCTACAAGAATAAAGAAAGTATGTAGAAAAATTTGATATTCACCACAATTATATATAGAGCCTTAAGGTAGGTACTGCCTTTTTCAAGGCTATATCCACGAATAAGGCACTTTTTTTTAGGCAAAAAAGATACTTAGGGAATGCCTTAATTAATGAGCATTTACAGTATATGCTATTAAAAGGAAAAGGCACGATTTTAAATTAAAAATCCTACTATTTTTTTTAAACAATAGAAAATTATTTAATTCTATATGAAAAATTATGTATACATTTATCAATGATTTATGATATATAAATAATGAGTAGCTAACTCTTTTACTAAAATTAGAATCTGGTAAATAATATTAAATTATTTACAAAAGCTTTTTATCATCAATTATTTTCTTCTAATTAAAAAAAATTGTCTCATCTGGTAATAATTAAACCTCAGGTAATAGACAGAGAAAAAAATAAATACTGAATGAAAAATTTATATTTTTTAATAAATACTTTACAAATCATAAATATTTTATTCCAAGTTTCATTAGAAAATTTTAATTATTTATTTAATCATTAAAATAAGAAAATTCAATTAAATTATTATTTTTATAATAAATTTTTCGCAATCTCTTTAATTATTTAATTAATTTATAAATTTTTGAATGACACTTAGATACAAAAGTTTTAAACGAAATTAAATCAGTTTATCCCTTCGTACATCAATTTTTCTAAAATTATAAGAAATTAGATATGGATGGCTTTTAAGTAAATTTTGCTTTAATTTGTTAATTATTATAATAATTCGTTATTATTTTAAATCATTTTTTTATTATTTAAAAACACAATAAAAAAAAATTCAGAAATAATAAATGGGTAATTTTTAATCAAAAATCAATAATTATTTTGTCCAGTATTCTTATGTAAATGAAGGTTAAATGGATGAATTTGAAGAATAAGATTACAATTAACAATTTGATGATAATTCTGAAATTAATCCTGATCATTAAAATAATATCGACCACACATTTTATAGTATAGTGATGAATTTGAAGGTAAAGATTAGATAAAATTAAATATTATTTTCATTAATATTGAATAGTTTTCTAGAAATAAAAGTCATTTTATAATTTTTAATTAAGTAGTGAGTGAGAAGTAATTATAACCATAAATAATTAAATTTGCTTAAATATATAAATAATAATATTAGCTATTGTTTGACATATTTAAACAGTAAGCGATTGATAACAATATTTCTAATAAATTATAATCACATCTGTTTATAATTTTATAAATAAAATATTTCAGAGATTGACAATTTCAGATTAGGATTTGAATAAAGTTATTAGGGTATCAATCAAACTTGTAATAATCATGATCTAATTAATCAATACGTTTATAAAAAACAAAATGAAAAAATAAATATTTTTATGAAATGTATTTATACATATTTTAGCTTTTTAATATATTAATTATTAATGTTCAAGTTTTTATATTTAACCTTTCGCTAATGTCAATCGATAGCTATCTATTTTATTAGTTTAAATAAATCAATATTTTATAAATTGAACTAATTATATTTTACATCAGCTTATAATTATTTCTTAAGTAAATTCTTCAATTAATTTTTAGTATATTTATCTAAACTTTAAAATTAAAAGTTATAATTTCAATAAATAAAAATTTTATCAATCAAAAATTTAAAAATAAATAATAAAATAATTATTTAATAGTTTTAAGATTATAACTAAGATTTTTAACTATTTTTATATCTGAAAAAATATAAAAAATAATTTTTTGTTTTTATAATACACAAAGAAATCCATTTGAATTTGTATAGTTTCCAACATTAAAAAAACCATAATATAATATGATGATTTATTTTATTTATTTATATTATTTTATTCTTAAATTATTATATTCATAACATTATTAAATCATCAAATAATGAAATAAATAAGTTATTATTAATCAATCAAATAGATTTTTACAATAAACAAAGCGTCAAAGTTGTGATATTTTTGCACATAGCTATTCCTGTGCCTAAATCTATTGCACCCTCTGCACCAATAATATTTAAACTTGAAATATAAGAAAAAATAACGAATTAAATAATATGGAGGAGAAAGGATGTTAAAATACTATGCCTTTAGTTAGTATTTTAGTTAAGTTGTGATGAGTAAGTATAGAAATTCGTTATATTTTTTTTTGTTAGTAAATAAATAAATAAGCACGTTAGTAAATGACAAGCTAGCTTAATTAGCTAATAACTATGTCAAAAGCTTATAATAATCAATTATTAGTTTATCAATCAATCAATTTAATTTTTACCTTAAGTCAAGCATCAAAGTTGTGATATTATTGCACTAGGCTATTCCTGTGCCTAAATCTTTTGCACCCTCTGAACCAATTTTATTTAAACTTGAAATATAAGAATAAATAACAATTAAATAAATATGGAGGAGAAAGGATGTTAAAAAACTATGGCTTTCATTAGTATTTTAGTTTTGTAGTGATGAGTAAGTAAAGAAATTCGTTAGTAAGTAAGTAAGTAAGTAAGTAAGTAAGTAAGTAAGGAAATAAATAAATAAATAAATAAATAAATAAATAAATAAATAAATAAATAAATAAATAAATAAATAAATAAATAAATAAGCAAATTAGTAAATGACAAGCTAGCTTAATTAGCTAATAACTAAGTCAAAAGCTTATAATAATCAATTATTAGTTATCAATTGATTCAAATAAATTTTTACTTTAAGTGAAGCGTCAATCAATCAATCAATCAATTAAATTTTTACCTCAAGTGAAGTGTCAAAGTTCTTATATTCTTACACTAGGCTATTCCTATGCCTAAATCTTTTGCACCCTCTTCACCAATATTATTCCAACTTGAAATATAAGAATAAATAACGAATTAAATAAATATGAAGGAGAAAAGATGGTAAAAAATTATTATTATTTAGTATTTTAGCTGTGGGACGTGTAAGTAAAGAAATTCTTTATATTTTATTAGGTAATTAAGTAAGTAAGTAAATAAGTAAATAATCAAATTAATAAATAAAAAGCTGGCTTAATTAGCTAATAATTAAATCAAAAGCTTAATATCATCAATTATTAGTTTATCAATCAATCAATTAATTTTTTACCTTAAGTCAAGCTTCAAAGTTGTGATATTCTTGAGCTATGCTATTCCTGTGCCTAAATCTTTTGCACCATCTGCACCAATATTATTCCCACTTGAAATATAAGAATAAATAACAATTTAATAAATATGGAGGAGAAAGAATGTTAAAAAACTATGTCTTTCGTTAGTATTTTAGTTTTGTTGTGATGAGTAATTAAAGAAATTCGTTAGTAAGTAAATAAATAAATAAATAAATAAGCAAGTTAGTAAATGAAAAGCTAGCTTAATTAGCTAATAACTAAGTCAAAAGCTTATAATAATTAATTATTAGTTTATCAATGAATCAAATAAATTTTTACTTTAAGTGAAGCGTCAAAGTTGTGATATTGTTGCACTAGGCTATTCCTGTGCATAAATCTTTTACACCCTTTTCACCAATATTATTACCACTTGAAATATTATAATAAATAACGAATTAAATAAATATAGAGTAGAAAGGATGCTAAAAAACTTTGGCTTTGGTTAGTATTTAGTTGTGTTGTGATGAGTAAGTAAAGAAATTCTTTATATTTTATTTGGTTAGTAAGAAAATAAATAAATAATCAATTTAGTAAATGATAAGCTATCTTAATTAGCTAATAACTAAGTCAAAAGCCTAAAATAATCAATTATTAGTTTATCAATTAATCAATTAAACTTTTACCTTAAGTCAATCTTCAAAGTTGTGATATTCTTGCACTAGGCTATTCCTGTCCCTAAATCTTTTGCACCCTCTGCACCAATTTTATTAAAACTTGAAATATAAGAATAAATAACGTATGGTTTTGGTTAGTATTTTTGTTGTGTTGTGATGAGTAAGTCAATAAATTTGTTATATTTTATTTGGTTAATAAGTAAGTAAGTAAATAAATAAATAAGCAAATAAGTAAATGATAAGCTGGCTTAATTAGCTAATAACTAATTCAAAAGCTTAAAATAATCAATTATTAGTTTATCAATCAATTAAATTTTTACCTTAAGTCAAGCTTCAAAGTTATGATATTTTTGCACTATGCTATTCCTCTGCCTAAATCATTTGCACTCTTTGCATCAATATTATTCCAACTTGAAATATAAGAATAGATAACGAATTAAATAAATATGGAGGAGAAAGGATAGTAAAAAACTATGGTTTTCGTTAGTATTTTAGTGGTGTTGTAATGAGTAATTAAGTAAAGAAATAGTTATTTTTTATTTGGTTAGTAAGTAAATAAATAAGCAAGCAAGTTAGTAAATGACAAGCACATAATTATCAAGAGGTAATTTTGATATACCACTTATAAAAAAAATTTTTCTTACTAACTTTTATTTATATTTAATTAGTGGGCAACATTTTATAAATTTATCTAAATTTTATACCAATTTTTAACTATTTATTTGCAATTTTTTTGCATATTCAATATTTTTGTAAATTTTACTTACCTTCCTAATAGATTTTATTATTAACTACATAATAAAGTTTATTTGTTTATTGTAGATTGTATTAATAGATAATAATTCTATCTTTAATTTAAAATTTTAAAAAATTTTTATAGAAAGGATGTATCCATCATAAATGATTATGTATCAAATCATTCATAATTTCTATCAAAAATATTAAATGTTATTAAATTATTTAATTTTTAATTGAAAATTTGTGGATATTTAATTTTAATATAATTACCTTAAAACTATTTCGATAACTTGAAATTTTGTAATTTTATACAAATCCTTCATACGATTTATCTTTATTTATTTGATTTTTTAAATTGGAATCTAATTTTTAGAAACCAATGTTCCTAAAGATCCTATGTTTACAGTCTCAACATTTTATATAGGACCTAAATAATGCTATGATATAATTTATTTCATATCATTTTAGTTTGTTTTGAATTTTTCAGAATTCTATTCAACAATAACAGAAAGAGAAGTTCTTTTGTCTCTTTCCCAGACAACTAATAGTTGAATAAATTTAAATATTTCAGTGTCTCGCTTAATATTTATGTCTTTGAAAGGCTCATCATATTAATTTGAAGTCATCATAATGAAAGTAGATCCTGTATTTTCTTTCAAAATTAAGTAATTGTCAAGCAAAGATAATAGTAAACCAACTGAATAAGAATCCGACTTAAAACAAAAATTTATTGTATTTGTTAAGAAGTTGTTATAACAATAATTACTTTTTTAGAATATATCTTATATTAATTATCTTCAATTTTAGTTAAAATTTCAGGTGCCATGTAAGCCCAATTTCCTACCCACTAAAATATATTAAAATTTCTTGATAATAATAAATTAATTTAATAATTTACATCTAAAATTTCAATCTATTCACAATTTTTTTCAAGTTAAGTTGATAATCCAAAATCGCCTTATATTAAAAATAATTGAATTGTTTTTTAAAAAAAAAATGAGAGGTATAATTACACAGTTTGACTTCAAGTTGATTGCCATCTAAACAAACCAAAACATTGTCAGGTTTAATATCTCTATGAATAATATTGAAACAATGAATATAATTGACAGAGTCAATTACTTGGATTGCAATATTCAATTTTTCTTCATCACTAAACTCTCCTTCTTTCCCTTATCTTTCTAGATATTCCTAAAGTGTACCTTTTTTGCAAAAAATAATATGATAAACTTATTATTCATATTGTAACCTCAACAATAAATGCATAGCTTTATTTATGGCCATCTTAGCCTAATATACCATTAAAACACTTTATGTGGTATATTTAAAATTAAAATTTAATTGAATAAAAAAGTAAAATATTTGCAAATTTATAAATTGTCATATAAGAATTTACATGAACACTTTTCTAATTCGAAAACTACATATTTTTCAGGTGCTGTAGCTTTTTCTATGATATAATTGTCATATAGCTAGACAACTAAAGGTGTTTTTAATTATTACATTATTCTAATTTCATTTTTAATTTCTTATTCATCAACAATCTTTTGTATTTTTAATACTATTTCCTTGTTGTTGAACTCAACTTTTTTAGTAGATAATACCATACCAAAGCTTCCAAAATTAAGAATTTGGAAATTATTTACATATTTCTTATTTTCATATAGACTTTTTAATAGCTTGGATAGTGTTTCTACTTTTGTAAATTGTTTACTAGCATCTTTTCTCTTTATTCTTGAATCTGTATTATCAAGTAAGATCTGTGCATCCTTCTCAAATTAAGTTTGCTAAGAAAAAAGATTGTTTCAATATCATAAAATTAATAACTTGGAATGCAAAATATAAATATTTTTATCTTTTTACTTTATTTTTATGAAGCTAATATCTTTACTACGGAATTTTTTCCTATTAATGAAGATTTAATAATTAATGTTAGTCTCCTATTACAAGTAATTAATTTTTTTAGTAAGTGCAAAAAAAATTTAAAATAATCTTACTCATTATTTTTTAGCTTAATTAAAATAAGAAATTAATTTGAATAGAATATGTAATGTAAAATATAAATATTATTTATAATATTATTACTTTATTTTTTTGAAGCTCATTAATTCTATTGAATATTTATTATGGCTACTACTGAATTTTTTCCTATCAATGAAGAGATAATAATTAATATTTGTGACTATTACAAGTAATTTAATTTTTTTTTAATAAATGCAAAAAAAATTTTATATAATCTTATAAATATTATTTACAATATTATTACATTATTTTTTTGAAGTTCATTAATTCTATTGAATATTTATTATGATTATTATAGAATTTGTTCCTATCAATAAAAAAAATAATAATTAATGTTTGTCACCTATTTCAAGTAATTTAATTTTTTTTAAATAAGTTCAAAAAATTTTAAAAATATTCCAAAATTTAAAATTAAAAAAATTAAGAAATCAATGATCAAATTTTCAAATTGAAGTGATAAAAAATTCAGATCAAAGATTTTATTAAATTAATTTTTATTATCAAGAAGCAAAGTTTAAAATTAATTTAAATATTTTTAATGAAATGGCTATTTTTAGTCTTATAATAATTGCTATAACTCTATTTATTTGTTTATTTTATTTAAAATGCTTTCATATTTGTAATAATATATATCCATTTTTTTCATCTTTTATTCAAAAGGCTCTTAATCTCTAATGACTCCATAAGTAGTCCATTTAAGGCATCTACTAGTTAATTAGATTAGCCAGATAAAAATTGGTAAATGCATTTATTACTTCTAATATCATAGTAGATAGTGTGAATTTCAGTGGTTTTCCATGAAGTTTAATTAGCTCAAAAAGTAGGTCTCCTGAAGTTTTCCTTTCTAAATAATTTGGTTTTAAGCAAATCTTAGCTATTTTATAAATATTAGAATTTCTATCAATCTAATATTTCGAAGCTATTCCTTTTCCTTAATAAATCTCTTCTTTTATATCAAAGTCAATCCAATTTTCATTTAGTACATTTAGATTATCTAATTCAAGTAAAACTAGTCCTAAAGAAAACAGGTCCGACTTTAAACATTAAATTAAATTAAAAATTTAAAGATTAATTTTGTTTAAAAACCTGAATTCTGGATTATCCTTTTTCTATCTCTGGAGCAAAGAAAGTATCAGTTCCATTCTATAGATTAAAATAATGTAAGATTAATTTTAAATAATAATTTGATATTTACCTTTGATTGGTAATGGCTTTTCGATTTTGTTACAGTAGATGCAAATCCCAAATCACCTTGATTATAAATAATTTATTAAATTAATAAATTTTGTAAAAATTAAAATATTTTACAGATTTTAATGCTAAATCCATAAGTTTGAGAAGGACAAACTAGGAAATTATGAGGCTTGATGTTTCTGTGCATGATATTTTTGATATGAAGGGTATTTAATCCTTCTAACATTTGAATAGCTATTATTTCCTTTATTTCTTAAGAGGGTAGTTATGTCTTTCTTAAATAATCGAAAAGCTGTTTAAGATTTTCTATTTACAAAATATAAACAAATATTTTTTAATATTTATGAAATTAAAGAAAAATATATTTAAAATTTGCTCTATATTAAATTTAAAATGTATTTTAATGTAAAAATGTTTATGAATTAAAATTAATAATTAATTAAATTATATTTACTGTTTAATTTATTTATTTATATTAAATTAAATAATTAAAAAATTTTTATCAACTAACATTTTAAATTAATTTTAATAAAATTATATAATTTAAAATCAATTAAAACTACATAGAAATAAACTAATTTTCTTATTTATTAGATTATATTGAAATTTTAAATTTAGACTAATTTTTTAATCTTTTACAAAGAATTTTGATAAATTAATTCTAAAATTTTTTAATCGATTATTTAATTTATTTTAAAATATTTATTTAAATTAAAAAATAAAATTTTAATTATAATTATTTAATTAATTTTTAAATATTTGATTAAATAAATAATTAAAATTTATTGACAAAAATAAAAATTATTATTTAAATAAATTTATTGATAATATCTTGTTTTTTTAAATTATATAAAACTTTATTCATAAATTTTGTTAATTATTAAAAAATGCATTATAAAATAAAATTTTTTATTATTATTTTTGGTTAATAGATTATAAAATTTCGATTAATTAATCTTCTAGAAATTTTATAAAATAAATAATTTCTATTATAGTTACAAAATTAATTAAATTTGCTTAACTCAAATCTAATTTTACTTCAAAATTAATCAAATACAAAAAGACTTAAAATAAATATCAATTTGACTTTTTTTAAAATGGAAGAACTTCAATTATTATAAATAATGTAAAAAATAAAATTGTATCATATTTTATTAGCTTTTTAAGAATTTTTCAAAAATTGGTGGAGCAAAAAAAATGGAAGAAAACTAAATTTATAATTTTAATACGTTCGCAAAGCTCCATTTCCATCACAAAAAAGGACTTCTCTTCTGTTACAATCAACTTTTCATTACCATATTTATCCTCTTCTACGTCTTGTTCCATTAGATAGAAGCAATTGTAGACATTTACCAAAAAATCAGATTAGCTGAATTTCTGAAGCAATTCATATTCTTTTTTCAAAGATTCGATGCCTTTCAAACCCTCTTTGCTAGTACATGTTAGGAATTTAAGGGCAACCATGCGATTTTTCTAAATATTTTTAGCCTTTAAGACGAGCGAGTAAGCACCGCTGCTTAAGTACTCGAAATTTTAGAAATATTATTTCTGATTGATGATTAATTTGATTATTTCTTTCAAACCATGCTTTTGTATCTGACACTCCTTGGGGATCTTTACTGATATTTCTTTTACTATTTATTTATAAAATGCTTCGATCTATTTCGATTTTTATTAATTCTATCCCATAGAGGTGAGAATTTGGCTAAATTATTAACTTTTTAAGAGTAGACTATGTTTTGCTTTTTTACTAAAACCAGTTAATTTTGTTTTGATGTGAAAATTATATATGCAAAAGATATTTTGATAATAACTATTTATAGTTAAGCTGATTAAAAAATCCTAATCACGATGAAGTTTTAATTAGTTTTCAAATATAATAGTATATCTCAATTTTATCGTTAATTATTCAAAAGCAAATTAATTAAAATAATATTAATTTTTTTAAAAAAATGAAAAAAAAATAAAAAAGTAATAATTATTTTTATCTTAAAAACAAATAATCATACATATACCGTAGATTCTCCTTAATTAAGACACTAAAATTCAAAAATTTTAAAAATATTTAATTAAGACACATCAATGTTATTTTCAATAAAATTATTCAATCTTAAAAGCATAAGTCATGATTAAATTGTCTTATGGATTTATAAATTTTTCAAAATTTTTAGAATAAATTTTTTTAAGATTAGGATTTTAATTTTATTTAATTAATATATTTTTCATTATTAAAAAACTAAATTATTTAATTGATTTTAGCAATTTAATTATTCATTTATTTTATAATTAAATAATTATTTATTTTTAATTAAATCTATCTAAATATCTAAAAAATTTTTACTTATTGAATATTTAAGTTTTTATTATTGAATTTATTCTGTATTCGAATAATCAATTAATGAAATTTATTGAGATTATTTATTATTCTTCTTGAATAAAATATGATTGAATTTATTTTTTTGATTATTCTAGCTCAAAAAGAATTTGAAGAATAAGATTATTATTAATACTTTGATGATTATTCTAAAATTAATCATTATCATTAATATTATTCAAACCACATATTCTATAATGATGATAAAGGTAAAGATTAGATAAAATTAAATATTATTTTTATAAATTTTGAAATAGTTTTCTGGAAATAAAAATTATTTTATAATTTTTCTTAAATAGTGAGAGAGAAGTAATTATAACCTAATCACTATAAATATATAAAATAACATTAGCTAATATTTGATATATTTAAAGTGATATTTTAAGGGACTAATAATAATATTTCTAACAAATTATATCAATTAATGTTCATATTTTTATAAATGAAATAATTACAGATATTTCAGATTATGGTTTAAACAAAGTTATTAGGGAATGAATAAAAATATATGTAATAATAATGATCTAATTAATCAATACATTTATAAAAAACAAAATTAAATAATAAATATTTTTATGAAACATATTTATGCTGAGTTTAACTTTATAATATATTAATTATTAAAGTTCAGGTTTGTTATATTTAACCT